CTGGAAACATTAACATCTGCATCCATTTTAGTACCTCCCTCCTTTGATCGATTTGCAAGACGAAATTGACCTTAGGCCTTTTCCAGTTCTTGTTTCGGCCACTAGGAGGCTGCATCGCTTGATTCGGTGTATCGCACAACGTCGCTAGGTCCACTCTAGCCTTAACGTTGTCCTTAGACTTGTCAGTGTCCATGAGAGTTCCCCAAAGTGCCTCGGCAATATTCTTTTCAGTGTGCATTACATCAATGTTATGTGGCAAAAGAAGGTCATCGAAATAGGGGAGCCTCGTCAAGCCGGATTTATGAGTCCACATATGTTCCTCACCATATCCCACAAAACCACCTTCTTCATTGGGCACGAGAGCATCTATCTGAACACGAACCTCGGCACCAGTCCTCAAGTGCGGTTTAGGGTCTGTCACTTTGACACCTTTCGTAAAGCTCTTGATGTCTTCTCTAAATTCATGGTTTAGAGGGAGGAACTGACGATGCTGGTCGAACGACGAATACTTGCCACCCTTCTTCAACCAAATGAACCTCATGGCTTCCTTGCATACTGGGCATGGGAACTTCCCATGAACACACTAGGCGGCGAATAACCCATACGCCAGGAAGTCATGCAGGGAGTAGTGGTACCAAACATGCATTTTGAAGCTTGTCTTTGTAGCTCGATCGTATGTCCATACCCCCTTCTCCCAAGCGTGGATCAATTCATCAATCACAGGCTCCATGAACACACCCATATTACTCCCCGGGTGTCCAGGAATTATCAACGATAAGAATACGTTATGCCGTTGAAAGGAGATGCCGGGAGGGAGATTGAGGGGGATAACAAAAACGGGCCAGCATGTGTATGGGGCAGCCATCATTCCATAAGGATTGAACCCATCTGTTGACAGCGCGACATGTACATTACGAGCCTCAGCTGCATTGTCACGATGTTTGTCATTGAAATACGTCCATGCTTCAGCATCAGACGGATGTACCATCTTCCCAGGATTGTACCATTTGCCATCTTTGTGCCATGTCATCTGTTTCGCGGATTCCTCAGTCATGAATAGCCATTGGATCCTTGGTAGGAAAGGAAGGTGACGTAGCACTCTCGCGGGGATCAGAAGCTGCTTCGTCTGACCATCACCAGAGTCTACCTCCAGGTACCTGGAGGATTTACACTTCGGACAGTAATTTGCATCCTTGTGTTCTTTCCTAAATAGGACGCACCCCTTCGGACAAACATGTATCTTGTCATACGGCATCTTAAGCATACGAAGGAGTTTCTCTGCCTCGTACAAGTTCGTCGGCAAAGTGTGCTTCTCCGGTAGCATGGTGCCAAACACGGCCAACATCTTATCGAAGCCTTCTCGACTCAGGTTTAACTCGGCCTTCAACCCCATTACGCGTCCAATCGCATCTAGCTGCGAAATCATTGTACGCTCGTGAAGGGGTTTCTATGCCGAGTCCAACATTTTGTAGAAGTCCTTTGCGGATTCCTCCATCTCCTCCTTCTCACGTCATTCAGCGAAGTGAGCTTGGTGGGCGTCATCTAGCATGTCTGCTACCCCGGTATCATCATCAAAAGCCTCGAGGCGTGCTCTCACCACCTCTGCTCTTATACGATCTGCTTCACCATGGTAGATCCACTACTGGTAGCCCAGGCGTATAACCATTGAACACAAGATGTCTACCCATGGTCTTCTCGTTTACTTTTCTCCTGTTGTCACATTTGCTGCAGGGACACCAAACTAGAGAATGTCCACCTGCTCCTGGGCCAAATGCATGTTTCAAGAAACCATCTGTCCCCTTCACCCATTCATAGTTGTAGTCACTCCCGCTTCTCTAGCCCGTGTACATCCACTGACGGTCCTTCATCCTTTAACATTTACAGCATAGAGTATTGTGACCATCAATTGCATCTACGCGGTGTTCCTACTGTCTAATAGGTGAGGATAGGTCCTAATCCCACCCGCGGATGCATAGATGAGGTCGGTTTCCATGCTCCGCTCCTCTCCGAGAGGCAATTTTGGCAACTTCCTCCATTGTTCTCCGATACACGTCCTGCAAGAGAGAGTGTATCCGGAGAACAATAGGGAGGTGTTGCCAAAACTCCTTCTCGGACCGGAGCGGACCATGGAAACTAACCCATCTACGCATCCACGGGCTGTCCAAAAAACATGGACAATCCAAAATAGATACGGTCGCAGATACACAAAGATCCGCATACCTACGACCGTATCTCTTTCGGACAGGAGATGCCTAACTGGGTTACGCACGAGCTACGACAGACATGCGCAAAAAGAGGTTATTTATACCTAGGGTGTCGGTGAAGTAAGGCTAGCGGGCGATGGCGAATCGGCCTTGATGGCGAGGAGGACGATCAGTGTAGAACCGCGACGTCGACGAAGATGATCGGGGTCCTCCGGGTCCCCTCCGATGTACTCTTCTCCTGCATAAAAAGACAATAGGTTATTTTTTGTTTAAAATTTCGGCAGCACCTCTCCTGCACGGGGAGGTTTCCAAAACCTACAAAAAAATGACACGATGGTCGACATTCACAACAGCATGAAGGCCGACAACCACAACGGCACGAAGGCCCTCATATCAACTTACGGCATGAAGGCCCACACAACCACATACGGCACGAAGGCCAACAACGAGAGTTTTACCTAGGGTTGCGGTGGAGTCGGGCGTCGCGGTGCGGGGGTCACTTTCTTCTCCGACGAGGTCGAGCAGCGTTGGAGTACTCCTCTCCCCCTCTTCCCTTTCTTCTCTCCTTTTCCCCTTCTTCTCCTTCTCTTCCCCTTCCTCCTTCTCCTCTTCTTCTCCTTTTCTTCCCCTTCCTCCTTCTCTTCTCCTTCTCTTCTTCCTTCAACTTCACCCTCTGCCTCCTCCTCTCCAACAACAGCCGGCGACGGGGGTGGCCTGGGGGCTGGGGTCGGGGCGGGAAGGCCAGCGAGGGGGAGCCGCCGGAGGGCCGGCCGGGGCGGTCGACCTCCCCTTGCTAGACGGAGACGGGGAACGGAGGCAGGGCGCGACCTCGCCCGCCACTGGGCATGGTGGGGCGGCGGGTGTTACTGTGGTGTTGCATCGGGCACTGGGCTGGGCGGCCGAGTGAGGTGGAGGGTGTGGGCGTGGGGGGCTAAGTGGTGGTGGTGGTGGGCCAGGGGGGCTGGGGTGGGTGTGTGTGGTGAAGGTGGGGGTGTGGGCGGGCTCAGGGCAGGCCAGGCAGAAGCAGAAGCAATGTGTGTGTGGGTGAGTCTTGTGGGTGTGGTGGTGGGCATGGTCCGGTCCGGCTGAGCGGAAGCGTGGGGAGGGAGATGGTCGAGCGTTTTTTTTTCACAATTTCCGATCGGAAATTTGGGCTGCGGCCCGATTTAGGGTTCCAGGCATCCGACGTCGCAACTCGCTCGAAGCCTTCTCAAATTTTTACCACAACCTACACATGCGATAACATGACATCTCCCCAAGTTTCGTGATTTTCGGACTTCGTATGGATTTTATATAATTTTAAAACACTTTTCCGGCAAGTCGGTCGTCATGTTACGCAAACAAGATGCGTGAAAATTTGATGCGAGTTCGTGGATAGGGACTCAACATGCACCAATTAACATGAATAACATTTTTCGAAACACTACATTGCAATATTCCATGCACTTGCAGTTCAAATTTGACATATTCGAAAAAAATCAAAGAATCGAAATAAATTAAGGAAATATACAAAAAAAAATCAAAATTGGCCTAAATTTTAAAATTGAGTTCAAAACAATGTATTGTAGCACCACAAAAAAACTGGGCTAAAAAAACCAAAAAAAAATTGCCGAGGGCCTGGCCCGTGGCCCTCGGCAAAGAATTTTAAAAAAAAAATAAAAAATATTTGCCGAGGGCCTATCCTGGCCCTCGGCAAAGGGCTTCTTTGCCGAGGGCCTAGCCTCTAACCCTCGGCAAAGGAGATTTATAAAAAAAAATTTGGTCGAAAAATTGGTTTTAAAAAAAATCTTTGCCGAGGGCCTGGTCTAGGGCCATCGGCAAAGACTTAAAAAAAATATTGCCGAATAACCTGGTTTCACAGAAAAAAAACCTTTGCCGAGGGCCTAACAGGTGGCCCTCGGCAAAGCTTGACGGGGAATGGCCGCCGTGACCCAACGGGCCTAATTTGCCGAGGGCATCTTTGCCGAGGGCCGCGGCCATCGGCAAAGATTTGATTTGCCGTGGGCCTATCTTTGCCGATGGCCGTTCTTTGCGAGGGCGCCTGTGGCTGGCCCTCGGCAAAGAGTGTCTTCGCTGAGTGCCCGAGATTTGGCCCTCGGCAAAGCCTCAAGCCCTTGGCAAAGCACGCGTTTCCAGTAGTGGTTGCCTCTACAAATCCGTTATCTACTGGTATTTGTTCCTATATATACTATTTTCTCCGTTCCAAATTATAAGACATCTTGGTTTTCTTAATTCATGGTTTTTGCTACGCACTTGATATATGTTATGTCTAGATACAAAGTGAAAGCTATGAATCTAGAACTGCCAAAACGTCTTATAATATGTTTAAGTGTGGGATCATAAAAGTTTTGGAAAGCTGCTTCATTTTAGTTTTTTAGTTTTTTTTCTTTTGAGAATCTGCTTCATCTTAGTTTGGTATGAAACGCAAACGTGATTTGATGGCTGCACCTAATTTTGCCATCCATATACCTGCAGGCATTTGTCTACCAGGTAAATAAGGTGCCCACATAATAACTATTGCTCAGAATATATAGATGATCTATTTTACAACACACGGAGTATTATTTTCTAGATAAACTGTCCAAAGAGATATATTGCATGTGTGCGTCATCCAGCACTGGTATATGCTTGGGTCGGTGGCACCCGGCAGGAAAGCATGCACCAATTAAAGTTGCCACGCGTACATCATTTATATATATTGTGGATAAAAAGGTTAATTATATCAATCCGCTATATATAGCTTGAGCTTATATATATAATATGATATATGTGGTAGCAGTATCAGCGTTGGAATAATCATGATTTGTGGAGTTGGTCCTGGTCGTCTTTTGGCGGAAGCACGGGCAGCATGCCTTTCTCCTGGAGGCTCTTCACTGTCTCGTAGAGGCACTGCAGCACCGGCACAAAGTCCATCCCCAGATCCTTGAGCCGCTGGTTCGTGAACTTGTATCCTATCACCGGAGGGTTCACCTCGTCCTTGCACCTGCGTACGCAGCGTTAGCTAGGAATTATCTATATCTATCTATACACACACACACACACACACACACACACACACACACACACACACACACACACAAAATGTATGTATAATTGATACTGTAACTACATCTCTCGATCGATCGACCTACGCTACGCACTTTGTGGGTATGGGGTACTCTGGGAAGAGCTTAACGAGGATGCGGCAGAGTTCGCCGCGGTGGAGGGTGCTCTCGGCGCAGATGTAGCGGCCGTGCGCGTCGCGTGCCTCGTACACCCGGACGTGCGCCTCCGCGACGTCCTGGACGTGCACGTACGCCTGCGCGGCGTTCACGTACGTCTTGGCCGACCCCGTCACGTACTTCATCACGTGGTCCGTGCTCGCGTTCACCGTCTGCTGCAGCAACGGACCCAGCACCAGCACCGGGTTCACGACGATCAGGTCCAGGCCTCGCTTCCGTGCCACCTCCCATGCGCCCTGCTCGGCCACCGTCTTGGCGTAGCAATACCAGTTCTGCATGCACCATATATATATCTCATCCACGCATCAAGCACTATATTAATAATCATTTGTGATTCATATTTTTGTCATGTAAATGCATGCATGGTTTTAATTGAAATCCAATATAGTATGTAAATGATCTGACCTACACAGTGTGGATCCTAGATATATCTCTGGGGTAGTAGGTATATAGGCACAAAAGTACTTGGAGCAGTTAGAAATATATGGTGGAGAAGAATGGCCTGCTGGTTGGTATTTGATGCATGCCTAGATCAACAAGAAACTGCGTACACCTCACGAGCTGTGTAGTTGACATATCAACGTCGTTCTTTTCCCTTTTCATCCAAACATGCATGTTTGGTGGGGATTGACAAGTGCGCGACAACAAAAGTACCATCTAGTGCATCGACTACTCACTGAGATCTATTACTTATTTCCTTTCGTACTATATCATCATTAGTTCTCTCATTCTCATTACGTATTGGGAATAATAATTCATATGAGCATTCTTTACTTTTACTCGTAAGCATGCATAAAAATATTACGAAACTAGCTAATTAAGCTAGCTGTCCTAGCTCGCTCGCTTCAAAGCAAAAACGAAGTACTCCAAAAGAAAAAGAAAGTATAGGTATTTTGGATGGATGCACCCACCATCACAGCTCATGCATGCGTGTACCTGGGTGTTCTTGCAATACTCAAGATCGCTCCAGCAGGTGTCGTCGACAGGCTTGTTCGGGTCACGGTAGGGGTTCATGTACACCGTGCCGATGGAGGACGTGAACACGACGCGCTTGACGCCGGTGTCTGCCGCCGCCATCATAACGTACCGTGTGCCCCTGATTGCTGGCTCGATCATCATCTCCTGCAGCATGCATGCGAGTGTTGCATTGGGGCGGGCGGATAGGAGCCAAACAATTTAATAATTAATTACATGCATGGATCGACAAGAAATATATATGTGTCGTCCTATATATATCTAGCAACTTACAGGGTCATCGGTGACCGGGGAGGCGGCGTGGAAGACGCCGTCGCAGCCGGAGAAGGCCTCGACAAGGCTTTCTGGATCCAGCAGATCGGCGCGGAGGAGGACGAGGCGATCGGCGGCGCCGTCAAGGGCCCTCAGGTGGTCGTTCTTTGGATCGACTGATCGAGAGTTACGTTCGTTGTACAAAAGGACCAAAGGACAATATGCATGCATCGTTAGTTACATTATATATATGCAAATTAAATAGATTTGTTGATATATACCACATAATTAAATATCAACGACACGAATGCATGATCGGATGGGATAACCCACGCACGCACCAGGGCTCCTGACCGTGCCGCGGACTGTATAACCCTTCTCGAGGAGGCGCTTCACAAGCCACGAGGCGATGAACCCTCCAGCTCCGGTGACGCAAACTGTCCGGCCTTGCCCGGAGAGCGCCGGCACCGGCGTCGTCGTCTCTGCTGTTGGCATGCTAGCTATCTCGAGCGGCGCTTCGATCGATCTCTTCAAGGAGAATAGAGAGATAGATAGATGTTTGTTTCTAGTCTAGACTAGAGGTTATATATATATATATATATTGGTGGATAGATAGATAGCTAGGCGGTTATTAGTCTGACATGTATGCTCTCGCTAGGTGGGTAAGCAGCTGAGGACAGTAGTGTACTAGGATGTGTGTGTGAGGAGCTGAGGCACATATCTGTCTGTGTATATATAGTGCTGGGGGCACCGAGACTTCGAGAACCAGAGTGGTTGAAGACAGTTGCAAAGTGTGGAGCCACGTGAGCGGGAGAATTGTAACACTACTCCCGGAGGAGTTGGTGGGAAATAAATTTATATCTGCACATGAATGAATCTGCAAGTTTGGTTAGGACTGATATGCGTACATTTGTTCAATCAATGTAGTAACAATCGATTAAAAAATTGTCAAGAAGCTTCTACTATGGCTGAAAATGTCAAGAAACTTTCTCAAAAAATGTTACAGTAGCCATCATATCGAATCTTGCGATACGTGCATGGAGCATTAAATATAGACGAAAAAAAACTAATTGCACAGTTTGGTTGAAAATCGCGAGACAAACGTTTTGAGCCTAATTAGCTCATGATTGAACACTAATTACCAAATAAAAACGAAAGTACTACAGTAGCCAAATTCCTAAATTTCGTGAACTAAACACAGCCTATATATCTTTGTCCGGGTGGGAAGGTAGCCGAGATAGCTAGTACATGGAGACTGGAAGATCCTGATCGAACCGGTAAAGCTGGAGCTAGCTAGTTCAGTCGCGCGTTGGCCACCAAGCAGCTCCGGAGATCAGCGCAGAGTTGGTAGCAGCTACTGTAGTCGGGAGCGAATATTGGCTTATGGCTTGCATGGACTGATGGACGAACACGACGACTTGTTTGGTTTCAGGCTGGGGCCGACAACATCACGCTTTCGGTTCTGCCACAGCCTACGCTTCCATGCCTACTCGTAGCAGTTGGGGTAGTTTGGAGATCACAATTGCCTGCTTGCTTTGCTTGTATAAGTTCCTTATTGATTACTTTTTTTCTCCACTCATCGGCAGTAAGGCTGGGTGTCGGGGTTTTGTTGCCTAGTAGACTCCTACACGTTATTCTCCCTTTTAATGAAAAACATGTACACATGTTTATTGTGTAAACATTCAGAAAATGAAGGATATGTTGTTCGGTGACACTATCTGTGTCTGTGTGGACAGCAGCTCATGAATTATGACAGCATCCATTGTTTAATCTGGTGCAATAGAGAGAATCGTTTCAGGTTTGATTACATTCAATCAATAGTGAAAAAACTGAAAATGTGACGTTATTGCTGACTGTGCCCCTCTTCTTCCAAGAATCAAGAGGGGTGGAAACTGTGACGATATATATAACTCCGACTATAATATTTATATCTAATAAAAAAAGCTAAAATGCCTTATGCAACACAAAATTCTGTGGTTGATATTTGTAAGTTACTATGATGACGGCTAGCCCTAGGACTGCTGCTAGCTAGCCGCGACCCGGGCTTCTAGAAAAGCAGATGGTATCGGATGTGTTTACAATTAATCTCCACGCGAGCAACGCTTTCTGGACGATCATGGGCGATGTGAACGGGACAATTTAGGAAGCAGATGCTTCGACTTTACTACCGGTTTTCCTTGCATCCTGGACGTCATTTTGAAAAGACACCATCTCACAATTATTCACATGACATATACTAACTCATTGATTGACACGGTCACCACTTCTTGCGTTCTATGCTGACTATGGCAAGAAAGGAACGGTAGAAAAACACGGACACAAGGAAAAAAAGGTCAGGCCCAAGATCACTTGCGTCGTATCAAAAACACTGGCTGCAAAGCGTCGCACAATGATGGCTCTCGTTTTGTTACTCCCTCCGCCCAGAAAGCTTGCAAGCATGGGTTTCAAGCAGTTAATCAGGAAGTAAAAAGTTATTACTACAAAAAAAAAGATCTCTAGATGAGACAACTAGAATAGATTTGTTGAGCTGGCAGAATTGTCTGCCTCTACTTATGAGTGCCTAGAAATCATCAAAACCCAGCCGCACTTACAGATCGATTTCTAGTGAAAAAAGAAAAAAAAAAAATAACCCTAGGAAAATCCCACTATAGCCGACTCCCTAAGTTTTTCATACATGCATAGCTGCAGGGAATCAAACTCAAGACCACTAGCCTCGCGCAGTATTTTTACCTCTAATTCACTTGTGACTAAGTGACTCATACAATCCTTTTACATTATTTTCCCAAAAATTATAACAAATATTTGCCACCATAAATGAATTCAAATGAAAAATTCTGAAAAATGCACTAAAAACTTCCAAATCTCTTCGAGTATTGCAACTTTGCTTTAGATGGTTTCTCCGTTTGAGGTTATTTGAAAAATTAAAAAAAAATCAATTTCAAAGATTCCAAAATTTAAAATAGAATTTTCAGGGCCTAACTGAGTTCAAGTGAAAAAGCAGCAAACTAGAAATTTGTAGATCCCTTAATTTGAGTGCTACAACTTTTGTTTTAGTCGTTTTTACATCCCAGGTCATTTGAATATTAAAATTGTTGAATTTCAAAATCCAAAAATTTAAAGTTGATTTTCTAGACCATAATTTGATTTCAAATCATAAAGTAGTGAAAGCTATAGATCTATTTGAGTGCTACAACTTTGGTTTAGGTCATTTCTCCATCCAATGTCATTTGAAAAAATTTAAAAATGAATTACCAAAAATGTAAAAACTTAAAGCATAATTTTGGAGCTATAAATGATTTCAAATAGAAAATTAGTCAACTAAAAGTTGCATATCTTTCTAGTACTACAACTTTAATATAAAGTTTGCCTTCATTAAATTTGATTTGAAAAAGTTATGAATTTTACTGTATTCTACCTAGTTTTGAAGGCAGACCAAACTGCCAGCCGCCTCTAAAAATGCTTCCTTTTCCATCTTTCAAACTATATCTCTAAAAATCGATTTCTATAGATGGGCCGGCTCGGAAACCATTTTAGAGGCAGTTCTTGATAGAACCGTCTCTCGAATGAAAGGGAGACGCCGCCTCTAAAAATAGTTTCCGTAGTAGTGAAAGACACATGTACCCCTATACATCTGGTCACCTCACCCGTGTGCTATGCAAGTGGTTATAGTTACTAAAAATGTGGAATCCATAAACCAACAATAGCCACTGCTGCATAAATGGTTTTTTGCCCACACTAGTTTTTCCATTGGTTCTCTTAAAAACCTTTCGTGAAAATATATCCCTCCAGCTCATAATGAATTGGCAGTGAGAATCATTTTCACCTCCGAATTATGTCCTGAATCAGTAGTAAAGATTAGTATGCTTTTGAATGCCAGTTCAAGATACAAAATGATAATGAAAACTAGTCTCGAGTACACAAGCGGTCACGAACCCTACTCTATTCTCTCTTCCTAGCCACAGTCCTCCCTGAGCGGCACACTCCCTCCTGGCCCTCTCTCTCTCTCTCTTTTATCAGTAGTGTGATGGCCCTCAGCCCTCATCCTTGGCATGTTTTTGCGTCGCCGCTCCTTTTCTACTCTGGACTCTCCTCCATGGCTCAGTGAACCAGATCTTGCCAATTGCTAGGCCTAGGGTGGCATGAAGGAGGTGGCTATGGCAAGGTAACCCAACTAAGCGTCAGTGATGGTGAGGTTATTCTACGACATAGCCACGAGAAAGCCCTGGGGTGCAATGCCAGCGATGTCCCTATGGTGCATGCGGAGGTGGTTGCCTAGATCTGGCCAAGGGTTGTGTCCCTAGGAGGCATGTGTATATTTTGGCCAAGATCCTAGCATGGGCAGTGATAGACCTTGGACTTGGGTTTTTTAATATTTTAATCAATTTTCACTAATGGTGACGAAACTGGCCATTACTTCCTGTTGGGTGGAGAGATGCCATCTAGGCACCCCCACTACGTGAAAAACAATTTGTAGCAATGGGACTTTTTTTAGGGGCAGCTGGCATTGGAGTAGCCTCTACAGCGGCGTCCTCGGGCTCTAGCACAGTAGCCGCCCCTACAAATGGCACAGTAGGGGCGGCTGGAAATACGAGTCGCCCCTACAAATGCGTCGATTTGTAGGGGCGGCTGGTATGTAGAGGCGGCTAGTACCAGCCGTCCCTACTGTGTCCATTTATAGGGGCGGCTAAATCACTAGCCGCCCCTACAAATGTCTATTGTATATATAGCAGCCACCTTCTTCCACCTCGGGCTACTCTCTCCAACCCGAGCAAAAAAGGTTGGGAGGCATTGGGCTCCTCCAAAAAATTGCTCTACTAAGGGGGAGGTTTTGATCTCAAATACTTTGGTGGAGAGGTCGTACAAGGTAAGAAAATGCTATTCCAAGCCTTTATTTGAAGTTTTAATGGTTGGTTAGTGATCGTAATTAGAGTTTTGTTTTTCTCTCTCTTCTATGGTGCTTGAGCTTTGTATGAAGCAAATTAGACTCTAGTTTTCAAGCTATTAGTGTAAATTAGTTAGATAAATGAGATTACACCATTTATTAGTCGATCTTGCTTGATTTTAGTTGAGATTACACCCTAGTTTCATGTACATGTAGATTTAGATCTAGATCTAGGGTTTGTTTTTTTTAATTTTAATTTTGTAAATTTATGTTTCATGAAATTGGAATAGGGTTTGCATGAAAGGTAGTGGGTAAAATATTAATTGTTGCAAATTGTTGTCTTTGAAATTATTTATTTTAATTAATAAATATATATTTTTAATTATTTATTGATAAATAGGCCATTAATTAATTACCGTCTACCATGATGTGTGTTTGATATGCTTTATGTAATTTTATTTTATATTTATATTTATATATATCTGAAGCATATAGAATTATTGTCAAGTAATTAATTATTAATTTAATTCCTTTACATACATATCTAAATTAGTAGTCCTTTAATGTATTTTCTTTTATTGTTGTGTTTTAAAAGATGGAGCACAGGAAGTCT